CCCCCATTCCCCCCCCACCTGTCCCAGCACATCTTTGCATGTACTTAGCATGTTCTTAGCATGTTGAGACTCACCTGTGACAGGAGCTGGCGGCCAACCCCATGATGGGGGTGGTCCCATTCAAGTGTCACTCGCCGCCCACTGGTGTCTCCCCACCCTGTGTCCCTTCGCCCCTCACTCTCCCACACTTTAGCATGTTCTTAGCATGTGCTTAGCATGTCAAGACTCCCACCGTCAACCCCAGACCAACCAAACGAGGAGGACGCTCCCATTCCACTGCCACCAGCAGCCCTCCACCGCGTTCCCCCTCCCCGCCCCCTTGCCCCACGTCCCCTTAGCGTGTGCTTAGCGTGTGCTTGCTGTGCGGCTGACCTGTAGCAGTAGTTGGGAGCAGACCAGACAGTGAGGACGGTCTCGTTGAAGTGCCACTTGTAGCCCTCCATGACGAGCTGGTGAGCCCGGCAGATCATGTCGATGTCATTGGACGCGTTGAACTGGGCCACCACGTCGCTGCCGAACAGGTACCCGGCACCCCGCGGGGACACGCCCCAGCCCGTCGTGTCTGCCGACACACCACACGCGTTTGCTGGCGGAGGGGCGGGCCCCGGACAGCTTGCCCCACGTCCCCTTAGCGTGTGCTTAGCGTGTGCTTGGTGTGCGGCTGACCTGTAGCAGTAGTTGGGAGCAGACCAGACAGTGAGGACGGTCTCGTTGAAGTGCCACTTGTAGCCCTCCATGACGAGCTGGTGAGCCCGGCAGATCATGTCGATGTCATTGGACGCGTTGAACTGGGCCACCACGTCGCTGCCGAACAGGTACCCGGCACCCCGCGGGGACACGCCCCAGCCCGTCGTGTCTGCCGACACACCACACGCGTGTCACGGGGGTGGGGCGGGACACGGACGGGCTGCTGGTGCAGGCCACGCGTGTGTCACATGGAGCCACGCGGGCCAGCGCAGGGTGTGTGGTAGGAACATGTGACACACGTATCACATGTATCTACACGTGTCACATGGAGCAGCCCGTGTGGCTGCGGGGTCACACGTGTGTCACGTGGGGCAGCCCCATGTGACTCAAAAGGTCACACGTGCCACACTGAGCCACACGGGCCAAGTTGGTGTGCACGTGGGAGGACACGTGACCCACGCGTGGCCACGTCACATGGAGTGGCCCAATGTGGCCGTGGGGTCACGCGTGTCACACACACCAGCCTGGCGTGGCTGTAGGGTCACGTGTGTCACATGGAGCCACATGGGCCAGATGGGGGGTGGGGACACGTGACCCACATGTGTCCACATGTGTCATGCGGAGCATGGGGTCACATGCGTGCCTCATGGACCAACCCAGCGTGGCTGGGGGCAGTCACACGTGTGTCACCCGGAGCCACAGAGGCCAGGTTGGTGTGTATGTGGGAGAACACGTGACCCACACGCGTGTTGTGTGTCACATGGACTAGCCCAACGTGGCCATGGGGTCACACACGTCATGTGGACCAGCTTGGCGTGGCTGCGGGGGGGTGTCACACGCCTGTCACCCGGACCCACATGCCCCAATCCGGCACCTCTACGTGACGACACACAACACTCACACGTCACCCCCAGGTGACGGAGCCACCCCGATGGTGGCAGGGAGGCCACGGGGCGCAACGCGGGACGTGACACGGGGGCAGCTGTCCTCTCCCCGCCCTAGTGGGCGGGGCTGCAGGGCAGGACACGCACCGACATGGGCTGACACACGTGTGCGGGGCCTACCCTCGGGGTCGGACCAGAGGAGGTCGCACATGGGGCCATCGTGGGGCACCTCCTGCTTGCGGTCGATGGTGCGGATCTGGTCCAGCGTCTGGATGGAGGGCGAGAGGCCCCCGTGCACGCAGAAGATCTGCGGGAACACGCGTGCGCTTAGCATGCGGGGGGCGTGAGCGATGCCCACCCTCCCCACCCCCCTGCGAGGCTGGAGGGGCCCCAGGGGAGACAAGGCCCCCACGCAGCCCCGGGGGCTGTCCCACACTCTTATATGTGCTTAGCATGTCCTTAGCATGTCCAAGCATGTCCTTAAGGTATCCCAACATCCTCATCGTGCCGTCCATGATGGCAACGAGGCTGCAGAGAGCAACGCTGCTGGCGCAGCCCCCCCCCAAACAGACCTTCCTACAGCCGCACACGTGCTTAGCGTGCCCTAGCATGTCACTAACGTGTCCTAGCACGTGCTCAACGTATCCCAGCGTGCTCATCCTGCTGTCACGATGGCAACGGGGCTGCGGAGAGCAAAGCCACCAGTGCACCCCACCAACATGCAGCCCCCAATGCGTCCCCATGCCTTAGTGTGTGCTTAGCGTGACCTTAACGTACCCTAGCATGTCATTAACGTGGCCTAGCACGTGCTCAGCATACCCCAGTGTGCTCATCGTGCCACCCACGACAGCAATAAAGCTGAGAAAAACAAAGCCCCCCCCCCACACAGCCCCCGATGCCTCCCCATACCCTTGCGTGTGCTTAGCATGTCCTTAACGTGTGCTTAGCACATACTAACACATCCCAGCATGCTTACGCCGCCAGCTACGATGGTAATGACACTGTAGAGAGCGAAGCTGCTGGCACAGCTCGCCGAAACAGATCTTCCTACGCCCACGTGTGCTTCGCATGACCTTAGCGTGTCCTAGCACGTTGTTAACACGTGCTTAGCATGCCCTAACATACCCCACCGTGCTCACAAGGCGTTCCACGAGGGCAATGAGACCGCAGGGAGCAAAGCTGCTGCCATAACCTCCCCGCAGGGAGCCCCAGCTGCCTCCCCACACCTGTGTGTGCTTGGCGTGACCTTAGCCTGCCCTAAGCACGTCCTAACGTACCTCCGCGTGTCCCAGCATGCTCATCGTGCCACCCATGACGGCAACGACGCTGCAGAGGGCAAAGCTGCTGGCGAAGCCCCCGTAAACAAACCTTCCTGCACGCTTGCGTGCCCTTAGCATGTGCTTAGCATGTCCCAGGGAACCCCAGCGCGCTCACAGAGCATTCCCCGGGAGCGACCCTGCCGGTGCAGCCCCGCCACACGCAGCCCCGCCACACGCAGCCCCCTCACACCCTTGCGTGCCCTTAGCGTGTGCGTAGCCCGTGCAGGCACGCCGACCTTGCCGTCGATGATGGCGGAGAGGCTGAGGTAGTCGAAGATCTCGGTGCAGTAACGCCAGACGGTGACGGAGCCGTACTTGCGCAAGCACTCGTCGTAGAAGCCGTAGACCTGGGTAATCTGCCGGCTCTCGTGGTTCCCCCGGATCAGCGTGATGCGGTCCGGGTAGCGAACCTGCCACGCCCAAACGCCTGGGTCCCCGCCCGGACGCCTGGGTGCCCCCGTGGCGCAGCCCGGCCGC